CCCCGGAGGTGACCACATGGCGCAGCAGGCCTCTCCTGACCCGCCCGCTGCTCCCCTCAGCAGTGTACTTTGTAGATCTGCCTGTTCTGCTCCCCGCTCTGTCTCTGATGTGCTCTGTCTCTGGTGAAGCCTCTCGCCACACTGGAGCCTCTGGCTGTACCCCAGTTCTGTATGTACAAATAAATAAATCTTAAAAAAAAAAAGTCTGCAACAATAAAATACATAGACAAAAACACTGGTGATACATTCCATGATCTAAATGATACAGATTTTTTTTGGTGACTCAACCCCTTTGGCAACAAAAATAAACAATTGGGATTACCTCAAGTTAAAAGCATCTATGCAGTGAAAGAAATGACAAGATGTTAAATAGACAATATACTGAGTAGGAGAAAATATTTATATAATATATAATAACCACTAGGGAAAGCAACCCGCATTTACTTTAAATATATAATTGATAAGGGATTAATATCCAAAATATATGATTCTCATAAAATTCTACCATCAAAACCCAATTAATAAATAGGTAACATCGATAAACAGGCAATTCACCAAAGAGCTATCCAGAAGACCAAAGACATGGAAAAAAAAGTTCACCATCAGTTCTTATAAGAAATGCAGATTAAAACTACAATGAGATAACGTCTCATACTAATGAAACTGACACATATTAAAATGACCCCCAGTGAATATTGGAGAGAGTGTGGAGAAAAAAGAACCTAATACACTGTTGGTGAAAATGTAGAGTGGTGCAACCATTAGGGAAAGAAACCTGCATTTACCTTAAAAAACTAAAAATAGAAATGTTGTGTGACTCAGCAATTCCACTCTTGGGCAAAGAGCCAAAGAATATGAAACCACCAACACAAATCCACATGATCCCAATGTTCACAGCAGCTACTTACAATAAATAGCTAGGATACAGAAGCAACATAAATGCCGATTGCTGATGGTCTCAGTGAGTTCCGGCAGGGTTTTGATTGGAAGGCAATGAAAGCTCCCCATTCACTAGCTAGTGATTTTAGTAAGTATTCCCCTCTGTTTCCTCATCTACTAAAAAAAATGGGGAGATTTATTCCTACCTCAGAAGATTGGTTATGATGATATAGAGCAGGTTTTGCCCTAGGTGAACTCTCAAAATACTTTACAAATGCCAACTTTTTGTTTTTTTTAAAGATTTATTTACTTATGGATACATGAACTGCTACAGGCCAGAGGGGCAGGGGGTGAGAGGATTCATCAGAGACAAAGTGGGGAATAGAACTGGCAGATGTACTGAAATCCACT